AAACTTTGCTGAGCAGTTGAAACCACTTGTGCAACTAGAAAAAATAAATTATAGTAGGCAACATTAAGTCAATTTTTCCTACAATGTACATTGTAGGAAAAATTGACTTAATGTTGCCTACTATAATTTATTTTAGATATTTTACTTGTATTGAGATTTTTTTCATCCAAACTTAGTCGGACCAGCATTTTTTTATATTTATTTTATTAAAATTTAAAAACATGATTTTTAAACAATCTTAAGTCGTTGGACCAAATTCTGTCATACAAAGCGTGTTTATACGTATGGTAAGAAACGTGTCAGTTGAATGTAAAATCAAAACGAACAAAGCAAATGTGTTTCATTGTTGTTGTATGGAATATTACATTAATTTCAAGTGTAGTCTTACGTTACATTACATTAAAATGTTTACTAACAAAGGCATAATTTTCTTATAAGTCTAGGAAAGCCTAATAATCGAATTATCATGTGAAACTTGGTTTGTTTGCATTATTTAATGGGCGTTAAATTAAAATAAAAATTATTAGATAATGCTTTGAAAAATATATAGCGAAGAATAACAGCTCTTTGCTTCATTTGCTTTACTTCCTAAAAGAAAAGTAAAAAACAAAGTAAATTGTTTAATTATGATTGCGTGTACAGATCATTGTATTTAAGATGACTAAAGAGTCTTTGTATATTTTGACAATACTGTTTGGGAAGTGAATGATGAGACATGGGGCGCATTGAATTGTAAATATTTGTAAAGATGCTGGCGTAACGGTAATATATATATGTGTGTGTGTGTGTGTGTGTGTGTGTATTACAAAAGCGAGAGTTACGATTCTACCGTTTTTGAGTAGTCGAAGAAGTTACTTTATTTTTTTTTATACAACTTTCAAAACTTTTTTGTATACATGTTTTAATTGTGACAATTATTTTTTCACTCACACCGAGTTTTTTATATATTTTTTTTATTAACAGTTCCTGCGAAATCGTAAAAGGTGTAAAATTAATATATAAAATCTGATACGGTTCTTCGATTTTAATAAATTGAAAGTTCTTCACTTTAGTTAATTAATAGTATATG